ACTGGCGGCCGGCCGCCCAGCTGAGCCGCCCGCCGCCGCCGCCACCGCCGCTGCCGTTGCCTCCTCGATAGTAGCAGCCGGCCGCACGGGTCGAGCGTCAGTCGGTGACGCGGACGGCGGGGAGGTGCGCGTGGCGGCTCCGCTCTCTGACAGACGCGTGCGTGCAGCGTGCGGGCTAGGACTGGCGAGGTGGTGGCTGAGATTGTGATCCAACGATTCCAACGAACGAAAACGTGGTGTGCTTGAACTGCCACAGGGAGTGAAGACACTCGTGATTTTCTGTGAATCTGACCGGTGTTCAAAATCCGGTCTCAGAATCTGTTTGTTTCCGTACCAGATAACACTTTTGTCGAACATTAGTCAACGAACGCTGTTTGCATCTGAGGGCCCCTCGAAAGGGAGCCGCGGCGCTTTAGACGCGTCCGCTGGTGCCTGAACTCTGTCCGAGCTGATCCGGCGCAGCACCCTCTCATCACGATGGTGGTCCAGCGGCGTGAGATCGCCTCTTCCATCCGCGACAGGATGAAGATCTACGACACAGAGATGGAGCGGCAGAAGCGGAAACACTCAGGTACGCCTCTTCAGCGGACGCTCCGGTTGCACCCTTCCTCTCAGACATTGCTAGTCATGCATTCGTTTTCACTCTGCAATGTAGTGGGGGCGTCGGCCGCGGGACTGCTGCAGGGAAGGGTACATCTGGGTGGGGTACACCACTCACAGGTGCGGCTACCCAGCGGGGTGACTACTCGTTGTGATCGGCCCAATAGCCCCTCCCGTCCCGTGCCGATGATCGACTATACGCCCCTGTTTGCCCTGCACGGTCGGACCCATATACGCTGACCGGCCGCCCCCGACTCACGCTATACCGGTCGGAATGTGCCGGGATTAGCGCCCAGCCGAGATCACAGCCGCAAGGCCGGACCGGCCGCGGCATTCCTGGACTGGTCGGTCGGGCACCGAGGGGCGGCCATGGCGACAAGACAACCCGCTAGAGAAACATCCCACACAGAAAGGTGCAACATCCTCTCCGGTGTGCATGAGTTCAGCGGGCCCTTCCGTGCCACCAGCCGGCGGGTCGTCCGTTTCACTCGGGTGGAGCGGGCGGCGGCGAGCCGCGGCAGTCCCTGGCACCGGATCCGTCTGCGAGCCGAGCCTCACCGGCCGGCTCTCATCCTAAGCACGTGATGACCGGCTTCCCAGCACCACGCCGTGAGCACGGCCGGTACGACCGGCGCGGCGCCGTGAGCCCCTATCGCTGGCGTCCATCGCGCCGCGTCTTGGCTCGGCCAGACTTTCCGGCTGGCGTGCCGCAGCGCGCACGGTGAAGATTCAAACGGCCGCGGACGGTTGGACTGTGGACGAGAGGCGGGGACAACGGAAACAACGGTGGCGTGCAGGCAGGGACAGGATTAGACGGTTAGGAGACTGAGGTTGGTCACTTTGGTCTTTGGGAACGTAGAGGACATTGTTGACGGAGACGGAGACAGGAGTTGGGACGGGAACGGAGACATGGTGATTTGGAGACTGAGGCGAGACGGGTTGGTCAGGAGTCAAACGACGGCGTTTCATATCTCCTCTGTTCCCTTGGGATGGAGACAGGTGTAAACAGAATGGTTTGGATACAGGCGTGAGACGGTTAGCCATGTTTCGTGAACAGAGCCATGTGAACTAAACATAATGCATACGACAGAGCAAAGTCGTGATGTGATTGCCCGTTGAGACGTTGCGGACGTTGCAACGGCCCAACCGCCGCGCTATGGCGGGTCGGTCCGTTGCCATCAGACGCTCCCGGCCCCACGAGCTGGCGGGCTTCGTGGCTGGCGGCTGGTTCTTGCAGAAGTCTGATTCGAGGCAGCAGTATCAGACATTTAACACGAATATTTTTGTTATGTAGGTAAAGGTGACCAGGGATGTTAAATGAAAGGATAATTTAGGTACTGATTGTGTATTACTTTTATACGGCACACTCCACGCAATGTTCCACGGTCCATCACGCGCTGCGGGCGGTCTCCTCTTTGTTCTGGCCGGCCATCGTCCAACCTGCAGCCGGCAGAGTGGCCGTCCGTCTCCAGAGGTAATTAGCGGTCCCCGACGCTGAACGGCCGCCCGCTATGTGGCATTTGTATGGTAATGTGCTTATTTACCGTCGGACACGGTAGCCACCTGTTACTGTCCGGCCAGCCGGCTCGAATGAACACAAGCACTCCAGGTGATAAGACAGAAGATTGGACGGTCTCAATGGCTCGGTTACCGACACACCCGACATTGTTCCACCGGAAAACGGGCAACTACGCCACACCAACAATCGACTTATCGGCCGTTGTCGGAGGAAATCGATTTACACAATTCAATGCAATGAAAAAATGAAACCGTGACAGGCGTCCGGGTGAGGGTACCATGGCCATAACGTGTCGTCGGACAATGCAACAAAAAATCCGGCGCGTGTCTGATGGCAGTCATGAAGAGGAAATCCATTTGAACCGTTTCCGTTTGGAGTGGTATTGTGCGGTGCAGTGATTGTTTACTCGGGTGGGAAACTGGTGGCGGTTTTTAGAGAGCGTTTTCCTGTTGCATTTCTCTCAATAATCTAAACCGAGCTGAGCTGAACAAAGGCGGACTGATTTGAACCGAGCTTCTGACGTTTCAGTGGTCGGTAACTCTGCCCAGACCGCGGGCAGCCCAGACCCACCCGCGGTAGTCGCGGCTGGTCTCTCCGGTTGGTTTTTGTGCTGGGGACCAGGCCGGGACCAGACCGGCACCGGACCGATGTTTGATGGACCGCCGCCGGAGCCGGTGACCGAGACCGGTCCGGTCCGACGACCGCTGCCGTTTCCGTCATGCGACCGCGCCTCACCCCAGTGCCGGTTTTTCACCGAGCCACCGGCGGCGACTCGGCCGGGGGTGGGTCGGACTGCGGTCTACACGGTCCAGTCCCGTCCCGGCCCGGCCAGGTCCTGTTTTGGTTGGACTTGTCACCCATCAGCCAGTTCTGTCAGTTGTCAGTCATCGGCAGCTGAGAGCGATAACTCCGGTAATGTGAGCCGACGATCCGGTCATTCGACACCGCATTGGCAACGGACGGTGACGTCAGTCCATAAACGGTGCATCTCGTTACCGTCCCGTGGGAAGATGGCTTATAAATCCAGCGCGACACCATCAACACATGTCAGCCGAATTTGTCGTGGATGTCGGAAGCAATCAGTGTTGCTGTAACGCGACATGTTGGCGCCGTTATCCTGTAGCTTGCGATGTCAGAATTGTCACGGTTTGTGATTCTAGCAATGCCCTCTGAGCCGATGAACATCACGAATAGTAACGTCAAAGGCTCGATCTATCGGCACCTTTTCGTCATTCTGAAGTGTCCTGCCGCCTATCGTCGCCCAATCCAACCAGCTGGGAACGTTCCCACGTTATCGCTCACCCGGGACGGTGCTCACTGTTCAGTTACGATTGTTGGACAGGTAACATCCGGCGATCACAGCTGTCCGTCGCCCTCGCCGGTCCACTGTCGCTTCCCGTCACCGGCCATCACTCACCGCACGTGCAAACCTCAGCACGCGGCGTGCGCGCGTGAGCGCTGTGCACGTTATGTGCACGATCACTTTGTTGTGGGCTGTTTGAGCGGCGGCTGCGGGAAAGTGTCGTGTCCGAGAAGTGTTGTCGTGGATAGAATAGAGATCGTTGTGGGTTGTCGTGCTGTATTGAAATATTTGTGGGAAAAGAGTCGTGTCCGGTGGTCCCAAGAACACGGGTTTGCAATATGTCTTCCGTTTGCACCTGAACAAATAGACGTTTCACAATAGCCGGGCTTTCATTCGACAATCTGTCGTGTGATAAGTATCGAATAATGATACATATTTTGACGAAATATTGGGAAGTCGTAATTTTGTTGACAATGATTTGTGAGCGTTGCATCATAAGCACATTGAATGTTACCCGAGCAGACTTTCTCTGGGAACCACGAAACAATTGCAACTTCGATCGGGATATTGCAACCCATTTTACGCCACTGACTGTGGTTACAGAACGACACGTAACGCTTTGCTACACAGTCACGGCCGAGGCGAGCGTTATGGTCGCAGGAAACTCAATCGTCACTTGTAAACGGAAACTTTAACTGCCGGACCTTTGGATTCATCCATGTCCGTTTTGTAGTTTGATTATTCGCGGCCTTTATTTGTGATTACACTCTACCGTATTGGCAAATTTTAGACGTTTTCTCGGACATTTCACTAGCCCCACTTGGTCAGAAGATGGCTGTTAGACTCGGCCGGGTGTGGTAAGACTGAGGATCTAGCCAGGATCGGGGAAACCCAGCCGGTCTCCGTTCCGAGCACCGATGAGAAGCGATTCGCCTGCTGACGCTGGCCGCTCAGCGGGCTGATGCTGGACCGCTCAGCGGGCTGCCGCCGCTGAGTCAGCACGGCGTAAACAGACGGCTAAGTGACGCGTCCTCACCGCGCCGCCTCACGCCGCGCCGGTCTTTTGTCCCGAGCGGTGGATAGGAGATAGTGCTCTTACAGCCGCGCCGTGGGTTGTAAGTGGTGCGTCGCACAGGACGGCCGTAGAACCAACAGACCGTTGAAAACGGAAATGCGTGAAGTTTTGCTGATCTGTAGGGAAGATAAGTCGACGTTTGTATCGCATTGTTGAGTAAGATTTATGTGACGCCGTTTTCCGCCGCTCATTTAAAAATACTTCGGGGATCTAAAAGGCTTCACTCACCGGTATCATACGACCGATAGCTACTGTTGACAATCATTTTATGATAATAACGATCGTAGGATTGGAAGATCACTGTGTGCTTAAGAGCGCGCCCGTTTAATTTATTTATGTTTTGACTTTTTGAGTCGCTGGACCTGTCAAATCTCTGTATAACTTTCAACGATCAACTCCTAACACATAAATCCCAACTTCAACGCTTGCGTTAAATCCCAAAACTCCGCGCCTCTCGACTGTCTCATTCCGTGATGTGACCCCCGTTCGTTTCTCTGTTTCAGATGGCTCCCCTCCGAGCACGCTGGTACACACGAAGAGCCCGATGGTGCAGCGTCGCAGCTCGGCGGGCCGCTTCGCGCACCGCAGCTCCGCCTCGAGATCCAAAGACGATGACGGTGAGACTGGGACGGAGGTGCTCCTCCCTATTGGCTAAATATAGCAAATAAGTAAAGTACCGTTCAGCTTCGTGAAAAGGTCTCGGGACTGCGCTGGGAAAGGTCTGAAAGGCCTGACTGTACCCCATTGTCAAAAAGATACCGTCCCTTAAAATATCTGCAACCTGTCTGTGCTGTTTATCGTCCGATTTGAGCGGATATTGCGGGCTTTGCCAGCTCTCGGTTGCAAGCTCTTGCTGATATTGTGAAAGTGCATTTTTGTTCATACTCTGTGCGTGCATTCAAAACATGCACGCTCTGTGTTTTTCGTTCGGAATGTGACTGAATAACAAGTCCGGGCAGCCTTTTGTTGGAACGAGCCTGTTCTAACCAGTAGAGCTCTGTCCCAAGGTCGGACACACACAAAGTACGCCGGTTCTGCGCTCGTTAGTGCGCCGGGTGTTTTTCAGCACGTGTATCTGCAGATCTGCGCTACCCAAGTCGTGTTTGTGACGTGTCGACTCGAGCTCAATCAGCGCTCATCTGCGACAAAACGCCGAGGCGGCGCGGGCTGCAATCCCGCCTGAGCGTCGCGCTCTGACAGGCTCTGAAGTGTCGCTGACAGTGAGACTAATCATCCGATTTGTGCTGATCTGCAGACTCGCGGATCCCGCTGAGGAAGACGGCTCCGGGCGGCAGCGCCGGCGGAACCACCCGCAGCGCTCTGAGAACCACGCAGCCGAGGGCGACACCTGACGACGAGCCCCAGAAGCTGCAGGCCACCCATAGAGGTCAGCAGTGCTCTGAAGCTACTGAGAGGAACGGGGACCGAGGGTCTATTGGACTGGGATATATTCAGAAGTTTACTTTTCGCATTTGACCGTTCCGTGCTTCTATCCTCAGGATACAGAAATCCTTCTCCTCCACGCCTCAACCCCACTCCGGGCTGGACAGGCACCTTTATCTCATGCGGGCTGCTCCCTTGGAGCGGCTCCGCTGCTCCCGAGGGAGCGCACCCCGTAGCCGGGTGCAGAGAGTGCTTGGGGGGCTGGTCGGCCTGTCCATTCGGACGGGCTCAGCCCCGGCGACTCTCTAGGGTGTCTGCCCAGACCAATGTCTCCCCCTAATTCCTATCATCCTTCCGGCTCTGCAATGGTCTTGTCAGACCGAAAGGGCCTAACCCAACAAAACAAACAAACAAACAAATTTTCGCATTCGTTCGAAGTATTTGATGGGGTGATTTTCGCCACATAGATCAAACAAACCGAAACAGATTTAAAGACTTTGTCGTTCACTTAAGCATGTTAGCTCATTTGCCAACGTCGCACCAGCTTTTCGTCATCCGCACTCAACACTTGGTTCTGTTGTATTTTAATCTGAACAAAACTGGATGACATGATGTTTCTGGCCCAGTTCTGAATAATGTCCTGATTTTTTTTTTCCCAGTGACTGGTGATGTCTCGGACAGAGAGAACCAGCAGATCGGCGAGACCGGTAAGTAATTGCGCCATGCCTTGTAAGAATTGATCTCAGTGTGTCTACACAAACCCAAGCTCGCTTTCAGCGTCCTTGTGATAGTTCGACTCTATGGGCCAGTGTTTGCAGAAACTCTGTTGAGTGTATTTATAAGTGACCTGACAAAGTACCACGCCCGCTGACCGAGTCTGTGCTCCGTCCTGCAGAGCGGCGGCTGCAGCCCGTGTCGCCGACAGCCACGGACGGACAGACGGCCCGCCGGTCCGCCGACACCGCCTCCTTCCTCGGTGACCGGTCAAAGGTCACCGGAATACGCGACGTGCTCAGCCGCATGGACGCCTCCAACTCAGGTCAGTGATTACGAAATTAGGCCAGAAAATCAGAGGCAAACTGATGACCTCAGAGGGAGGTTGTTTGCCTTATGTTCGGGTTAATGACCGTAGCTCAGGTCAATGACCCAAGAATGCTTGATACCTAAGATCGAGGTTATTTGTCTGCAAAATCAGGTAAGTGACCCCAAATTCATGCCAGCAACGTCAAATTGAGATCATTGGTCTCGAACTCGGTAAGAGATTTAATAGCATAGGTCAGTGGCCAGTGACCATTCAGCCCGATCAGAAGTCTGGTTTCCATTTTAGGTCAATGGCCTTCACCTCAATGTCTCAGGCCAAGCTCGCCCTCAGCGCTATTCGTCCTCTCTACCCTAGCGCTGTTCAGTGTCATGACCACTGGCAGCAGCTTTGACTGCGACTCGGGGGTGACAGGAATTCCAACTGTCAGGTAGCTGCGTTCAGCCGGGAAGGTATGCCGACTGATTGCCGATAGACGCGGCAGTGACTCGTAGCATCAGTAGATTTGGAGCGTGAATGGTTTCTCGTGAGATGCCCATCCCCACCCCCACCCCAGTGCTGTTTTGCGATTATGTCATGTTGCTGGCACGCATTTATTTCAAAGCTCAAAAACATACAGAGTATCTGTGCTTTGAAATATCTATTGGTAATCTAACGATATTCCGCCGCTTGTAAGAGATGGCGTTGCTACCCTTGTCAACCCGTCCTCCCTGATGTCGTTTGTCTATTCTGACCGCAGTCCGTCACTATTTTCAGAGGTGGCGTCTCCGGATGACGCGGCCCGCTCCCTCCTCAATAAGTTTCTGGGTGCCCAAGTGATGATGACCGGTATGGAGTCGATGATGGCCCAGAGCGCCTCCAGTCAGTCAGTGACCACTTCTGGCACCGGACAGCGACCCACCACGGTAAGTTCCGACAGCGTGTGCCCTTCTTGTCTGTGTGTGTGTGCCGTGTGTCGCCGCGAAGTCGTAAATCTCGGTGTCGGTGAGTTTCGCGGCCGATCAGTCGGCGCCCGCCGCTCCGTCTTGGTCGGTGGCGGCCTGTCCCTCGACCCACCCTCCTACTGTCCCATACGGGACCTGAAGGTCACTCGAGGTCACGGTGAGGGCCTTGTCTGACAGATGTGTAGCTAGAGTCACTGACCATCGAAGAGCCTTAGTCCCATTCTGCCGCCCGAATGACTGGGTTATGACGTGGTTAATTCGGTACCATAATGTGCCTACATTTCGTGGCTATGTATATTCCTACCGCTTTAGAGTACCTACATGAGAATCTGAGATCCGTTTGGTCAACCTGACACTGACATTGGCATTGGCATCGGAGCTGGCACGCTGACATTGGCACAGCCATTGACTTTGCCATAGTAGCCGACACGAATACTTCCTTGACACGGCGACGGAAGCTGCCTAGGTGACAGACCAGCATCAATCTCTGAGCATATGGACATGGCGAGATAGCGGGCGGGTCGTGTGCCAGTTTCTGGGACCAGAGAGCTCTGTCAGACAGCGGCAATAGAGGGCTCCGACCCAGGGAGGGGCGTAAAAACAGACGGTCATTTGCCAGGCTTGTGAGATAAGTGGACTCACAAATGACTGTGTACTGTGGACGGTGTGGACAATGTCTTAGCCAGGAGTGAATGGACGGGACAGACAGGCAGGGGTGGTCGGGTGACCGCAGAGTTCTGTCAAGAGACAAACAAAGCTGGCCGCTCGCACACTCAATATACACTGGCTTCTCACATCGTGAGTGGTATGGTCGCCATGACAGCAATGCAGCAATGCTCGTTGGCACCTCCGCCCACCGTAACTTAACCCTCGATGTCTGGTGGTTTGCCAGCAGGGTCGCCAAGTTTCGCGGTGATTGCACCTGCAGTATGCCAACTAAATTTCAATGACGTTAGTAAACGTCTTCTAATAACAATCATTAAAGCGCGCTGCGTGGGACACCTGGCCAGATGTATGTTATGTGTAAAATGCAAGATGCCAAGGCTCTCGCAGATTGCCAAAGGTGACTTAACCCGGCGGCCGCTGGGCCTCCGCGCCACCCGCCGGCCGCTGGAGGGGGGGGGGCATATAGTTGCCCCCCTTTACTTCTGCGACGATATCGTCGCAACGCGAAAAGATAGAGAAGCAAAACTTTGCAGACATCTTCCTGAATACCTAGCCGAGGTTGTGTTGTCCAAATTTGGTGTCGATCCCATTTGAAATGACGTCACAGTGACGTCATAAGTGAAATTATAGATTTGCGACTCTTATATTCCTCACGATACATCAGATATATGGGACCGAATATAAAGGGTCGATTATTGGTCAGAAACTAGATGGAAGTGTAGTTAGATGTTTTAGGATGACAGCAGGACGTGCTGTCTAGTTCATTTACAGTTGAGTTTCATGCTCAGCGTCATCAGAAACGGTCCATATCGGAAAACGACAAAACTTTATGACGTCACTGTGACGTCATCTTAGGTGCTACAACCACCAAACTTTCCTCAAACATTGCCTAGGTATTCATTTGAAGCTATGCCAAGTTTCACGTTCGTAGCTCATCAGGTTTCGGAGATATTTCACAAAACGTAAAGGGGGGGGGGGCAACTTTATGCCCCCCCCCCAGCGGCTCGTGGGTTAAGCGCCTGTCTTGCGTCTTACATCTTGTTCTGGGTCTGTTTCACCCACTCACTCACTCACTCACTCACTCACTCACTCACTCAATCACTCACTCACTGAGACCGCAATAAAACCCCAACCTTTCGATCGGTGCCCCCGAAATGTCGGCCGCCAGTGTCTTGCTGTCATCTCCGCACCCGTACCAATGGGGTCACCCCGATGTGTTTTGTATGTCGCCATATGCCCTGTGTTTGTGCTCAAGACTGAGCCTTTTCTGTGTCTAAGACAGTGACTAGCCTGTGGCCCTCTGACCCGACGCCCTCTTTACTCTCTCCGTCGACAGAGTGTTCGGTCTCAGCGGTCCCAGTTCCGCGCCTGCCGGGATCAGGACGGCCAGTGGCAGACGCAGGCGGCCATGTCCGCGTCAGCGTCCAAGGTGAGTGAAGGAGGATAGATGGGAGCTTTGGGAAGGTATTGGCTTGCCACAGGCCACTCTGAAGAGAAAGTCGTGAACGATTCGGCATGGCCGTATTGTATAGGTCCCTCACAGCTCAACCCTGAGATCTATAGGTGCTCTCCTCTTTTCCCAACCTGAAGTGTACGACTGGGTCTGTCCAAAGCGGTCTGTCCCTGCGGGCTGTCCATTGGGGTTAGTCCAAGCCAGGCTGTCCAGGCGCCGGCCGGAAGTGTCGCACTTGAAACCCCTCAGCTGGCGGTGCGGTGCCAGCTGGTCTAACTGGCAGCTGGCAGCTAGCAGCTGTGCCGACCGCCCACCGCAGCGCCTGTTGTCGTTGGCAGACATAGCTGCCCGACCGGTCGTTGACAGGTATAGTGGCGGCCTGTCTCAGGAAGTGGCTCCGGGGACGGGTTTTCACATACGCACTGAAAATTCAGAGGAGACAGGAGCGAACAGATGTGGCTTGTGGCTAGCCATGAAGTCTCTCTGAAAGAAGTCTGGAAGCACTTTGTTTGACAGCTATCGACTATGGGCTCATGTCGGATATGGAATCTGACGTAGTTAGGTACTTGGGCTATGAAACTTAAAGGCTCATACATAATCTTTGAATGATGTTATTCTTACAAGTTACAACCAAATCATTCGCAACACAAGTTTAAGGAGAAAGAATGATGTGCAATAATCTTGAATGGAAGGTAAATATCGTAAATAAAGAATACTCGTCAACAACCGTTGACGTTTCCTGGAACTGGAGAGGCTGAAGACGATGGATGGTCCGCGTGGAGCCTGTCAGGCAGTGGCGGCGTGGCTGATCACGCCTCTCCTCCTCCCCCTCTCTCCCCCTCTCCTCTCCGCCCCCGCGTCTTGTGACGTCAGTGAGCGGACGATGCCAGATTTTCAAAATAACCCAGGCAGGTCGGCGGCCGGTGGGCGCCGGGCGAACTCCGGTCGCTGGGATCGGCAGACCGCAGAGTGCCGAACTGTGGCGACGTGTTGTCCGCCGGGACTCCTCTGTGGTGGGGCTGGTGTAGTGGTGAAATGTCGGACCAGGCTGTGGATCCCGCACCCGCGGCGGCCGAGGGTGACGCCGCCGCCCCCGCCGCGGCTGAGGCCGGGCAGAAGGCCGACAGTGCGGCGGACGGAACTGTGACCAAGACCGATGGGCCTGCGGTGCCGGACAGCGCCGGACAGCTGACAGGACCGACTGACACGGCCGCGAGCGGTGACGGAGCGGCCTCGAAAGCTGCGTCCGACGGCTCGGACAAGGCACAGCCGGCCGCAGCAGCGGAGAAACCGACCGCTTCTGATGGCGGCGAGGCAGATAAACCGGCGCAGAAGGAGGGAGAAAATCCCTCTGAGGCTGTGACGACTCCTGTAGCCGATAAAGAAAAAGAAGGCAAGGTGTCTGAGAAGGCTGACACACCAGCGGCCGATATTGTGGACGGAAAGCTAGCGAGTTCGGCTGAGAAGACGGTAGGTAGGGTTTGAATCTGATGACGGGACAGCTTGGTGAGGGACAACGTGTGGACTGAGATTGGAGAGACGTCTCGGCTGGGATAGTCTCACAACATAGAAAGGCTATGCTATCCATGACATGATGGGAGATCGTAAAGGATAGTCCAGAATGGAATGGTGATGTAAGGGCGGGTGCGGTATACCAGTTGTTGAACAATGAACATACGCCGATGGCAGCAGCGAGTAGGGGGAGGGGGGCTGGTCACAGCTTTCTGACAGACAGCTGGGGAGGAGGCAACCGAGAACTGGGCGGGGAGGGGTGGGAAGGACTGTCAGAAGCGGAGGAGAGAGGCGGAGAGAGAGAGAGAGAGAGAGAGAGAGAGAGAGAGAGAGAGGCGAGAGGACGGACCCAGTTTCTGGGAGGGTTGAGCGGCGGCTGCCAGTGGCGGTGGCAGGGGTGACAGAGGGTGTGGTTTCGGGCCGACAACTGACGTAGAGGTGAAAATGGGGTGGCAGAGAGCGAGAGAGGGTGCCAGGGAAGGAATGGATGGGAGAAAGGGGATGCCAAAGAATAGCGAACCGGCATAGAGTGCCAAGTAGGATAGTAGACCGAGTTCTAACTGAGACACATGGATTTGCGTGATAAGAGTCGCTGACATAATATGAACAAGCCTGTGAAATCTCTGCTGGTCTTGCTTACTTCCACTTCCAGTTACAATTCCAGCTTCCATACCAAGAACAACTGACCAACAATTTTGTATTCCCTGTAGCATGGTCAAAATCTTCTTTGCGTCTACTTTTATTGAGAACGTGCTTGCCCAGGAGCATTGCGACCGGGAAGCCGTGACCTTTTTGAGTGCTGACCGTGACCTCTGTCGTTTCAGACTCCGTCGGCCACCGAGGCAGTGGTCGTCTGCGGGGTGAACATCTCCGAGGTCACCGACCAGGACAAACTGCACGAAATGGTGAGTACAATGTGTTGCATTTGGCTTCTCATATCCATTATTAGGTCACCATACTTAATCTGTTTTGTAGTGAACAGCTGATTTGCTTTGCCACAATGCGCTGTCTTTTAATCCTGCCCCGTATACACCTCGCGAGCCATATTCGGCGCATGCATGATGCGGCTGTTCAGCACATTCTCAGTCATCCCCAGTCCGACCCAGCCGTCACTTGCCCGTCCCTGCAGCTGTGACCCCGAACCAGTTACCAGTTCTCTCGCACCTGTCACCATCCTCACCATCTGATAGCAGTGACCCTATGACACGCCGCTCCGAGAATCGGCACCAGCCTTCTGCTCCTTCCACTACGGTGTCCGCCCGGCAGCGAGACCCAAGGGGTGCTCAATCTGCCTACCTGGGTGAATTAAACTCATCAGAATGTTAAAGGTAGTGTGCCAGCTTTCCTGGACCGTATGGAGTTAATGGCCCAGATCAGGAGAACCGGATTTTTAGAACTTATCCATACCTTCAAAACTCATGGAAACGTCTTAAATTCTTCAAATTTTGAGTACCCCAGTGCGAAATTCGCCCCGACGGGTTGTCGGTCGTACCCCAACCACATTTCACACCACTATGAACAATAAATGCACACACTGAAATCGCTATTACCGATAGGCTCATCCAATCAAGTTTCGATAAACCCGTTCATCATCATCTCCTGCGGTTTCGAACACGCCTGTTAGGTGGTGCGGTAGACCGCGCCCAAAGCCAGGGCCCCGGTAACGTGAGGTAGCCGAGTCGGGGCAACGTGCGCTGACCCAAGCCGGGGCCGCGCGTCCTCCCGGTGTCATGTGATAGCCCGGGGCTGCCCGGGGATGCGGTAGACCGCGCCCAAAGCCGCGGCCCCGGCTTGGGTCAGCGCACGCTGCCCCGACTCGGCTACCTCACGTTACCGGGTCCCTGGCTTTGGGCGCGGTCTACCGCAGGTGGCTTCTGCTCATACTTTGTGGTGCGGTGGTGGTGCGTCGGGCCGCGCGCTCTGACTTCGGCCAAGAAAAATGCGTCAGCTGATCATTGTCATTTCTGCCACTTGCGTGTGGTGAAATGGGGTCATAACTTAAGAGACGGCTTTTTCATATCAATTATTTTACATAAAATAATATTTCAAACCATAAATTAATGTTCGACAGCCAAATTAAAGAAACAATACCAATACAGGCCTACAGTTTAAATTCGATATTGTGTTGTCTACGATTAGACAGCTGATAACTCATTCCCGTACGTCGTAACCATGTCGTAACTCTATAATGACCTTTGCTTATTGTCACATGTGCGCCGCATTAGCGATTGTTGCCGACGCCTGTTTGCAGATCAGCCCACTACAGTTGTTATACAATATACATATCGAAAAACCGATACACTTTTAGGCGAAAAAAAGCACTATTTTAGGCCCATTTTTGATTTTTTTTTTGCGATATTAGGTAAAAACAGAAGCTTCTTATCCTAGGAAAAATAAAATGGGAAATCATTGGAAGGTGGCACACTACCTTTAATGTTATAGTGGTGAAGTTCTGACAGCTGGATGCATCATATCATGCCACTAAGTCGGCGTTATATCATCACGTTGAATCAGTTAGAGGTGTAAATAATAAAGATCCGTTCCCGTAAGTGACATCAGCCCGACTACACTGGGGTGGAGTCTGAACTGACCCTCTGTCAGAGACGGTCGCCGCCCGCCCTCGCCCTCTCTCTCGACCGACGACAGCCGGGCGGCTCTATTTTTACCCGCTCGCCGCACCACAAAGTGGTGCATTGTGTGCGTCCTGAGACGGCGGCCGCGCGGTGTACCCCGGTCGGGGCAGTTGGCCGCAGGGGACTGCGCTGCCCAGTGGTGGTCAGTGCCCCGTGACCCGGTACGTGTCACGTTACGTGGATCTTCTCGTCTCAGTGTGTCCCAATGTGAAGTGTCTCCACTCTCCACCAAACTCTCTCGGTCTCAGTTGACATCTCGGATGATCTCGTGGTCGGTGAGACGCCCTGTACCCGGCTGAGCGATGGGATGACCTCTGCTCTCTGCCGTCATCTGATGTCGCCGGCGCTCTCGTCTGTCAGCTGCTCAGGATGTTGGTGGTGTTGTTCTACTGTTTGCTGCTGTGGTTGGTTACCTTGGCAGTGGCGGTGACGACTGGGGCTAATGCGGGCTCTGCGGCGGGATACGAGTAGCCGTGACGTGACAGCTGCCTTAGTGTTAGAGGCCAGACGCGATGAGTACAAAGAACTCTCACAGGACAGTGAACGAGGAACATCGGGAGAATGGAGTCCCGTGTTGGCAGACAAGGAAAGGGCTGGGAGCCAGAGCTGATGCCGATCAAATGAGGCGGGGTGTAATGACATTTTCGCCACTTATCAGCACTAGGGCGAAGGTGGATCAACATATCAACACCTCATGATTTTTTTAGGTTTGTTACGGAGCGAGCGAAGCGAGCGTAGTCTTTCCTTAGACTAACGGAAATTTCTGAGTATGAGCGGCCGGCCGTGGTCACGCTTTTGCGAGGCTTATATCTCAGCAACCACTTGACCGATGTACACGCGGTAATTTTTGTAGGGTAGCTTCATTCCTTCTACCAAGTATTGGACTATTGCCGATGCATGTGGGTGACCCCTTATGCACGTGCCACGTGCAAAACGAAGAGGTGTCACTTTTGTAATTGTTGCAATATCTCGGTAACTACTTGGCCGATTGCGCTGAAAGTTGGCATGTAGGTAGGCACCCACTAGGCAATGCATATCCATGTGCCAGAGTTGGGTGCTGCTGCACGTGCGCACGTGCAGGGGTCGATTCCAAATCTCGAGAACGGCTGGACCGATGGCGCTCAAATTTGGCACATGGTTAGGGACCGGTTAGTAGGGTGCCGTGCAAAAGTCAGTTGGGACCCATTTTGCACGTGCGCACGTGCAGGGTGCCGATTCCAGATCTCGAGAACGGCTGGGCCGATTGTGCTCAAATTTGGCACATCGCTAGAGACCGGTTAGTAGGGTGCCGTGCACAAGTCAGCTGGAGGTACCCCCTCGAAATTTCGCACGTGCAAGGCTCACCCTCTCGCTCGCTCCGTTAGTCGCCCATAAGGCGTTATACTGGTTACTAATATATTCGCATTGAGATCATGGTTTCCGGTGGTGACCAAAATTTTAAGACGCTTGAAAAAGGTCGTGCCTTCCAAAGTTATTCGAGTTTGAATTGGGTACCTACCTACATCTATTGAGAGGTGTGTTATGTTCCAGGTAAAGTTACGGATTAATGCCACTGATATGTATTCTGATGTTGCAGTAACTTCCAACTGTTCGTTTAGGATTGAAGAATGCGAAGTAATCGGTCCCGTTGCTTTTTTTTCTTCTCAGAGTTGGGACGCTTTGGTTGTTGGGTTATCACACGAAACTGCGGCGGAAAGTTCACTTGTATCAACTGACACACTTATTCAGTTTCAATTTCCCACTTCGAAAATTCATAAATTCAATCAGCGGCCGTGCAGCGATCGCGCATTCATAGCGTCAAGCCCTGCGGTGCAGCATAACTTCAGGCGTGTACTACTAGTGCCATCTATGGTCAGCGGACGGAGTTACGGCTTCAGGCCATGCGGTACAGCATGCGTTCAGGCGCACGACACTAGTGCCATCTAGGGACAAGTAAGGCATCTTCGTATATCTGCGCATTCGAGTTGACGTTGACGGTTGACCCAATGAGTGCTTGAATGATATTATCCCCGCGCTCTCCCCGCGTTCGGGGTCTCTCGGACGACGAAGATTCTACATCGTCCGGCCAATCCCGTTCCATACCGCAGCCAAGCCCCGCTGACCTTTTTTTGTAACGACTTTTTCTGCAAACGGATGCAGTCTCGAAGAATTGAATGCACTTATGATCCGCATAATTGATGTCCCCAGGATTGGTGCCGGGTGCCGACTGATTGCCTGCTTATACGTTTGCCACTTTATTTACATAAGTGGCTTTATTTATATATCAGAAGTCCTTTGTGTCTAGACGTCGCCTGCTCGCAGGATTGACCCCATAGTAAGCTGTTCCGGGGCTCGACCTCCTATTTTACGGGTCGCTTCTGTCAGGTGCATAAAGGCACCATATAGGCCGGTTACGGCCGCTGGAATAACATCGTAACCGGCGCACATAATTATGTCAGCCCAGATTGCAGCCCCGCCACTGCCAAGAGACACTGCCGCCGGCGGGCTTCCTGGCGCCCATGCCAACCCGCTGACCTGCCAATGGGGGCCGGGCCAGCCGGTGAAGCCAGTGACCGGGGCAGCACGCCACTCGAGCAGCCAATGACCTAACCGGAGCATGCAGAATCGCATTTTGCGACTTGATTTCCTAATGCTAAAATTTACACCATAAATTTGATATTGCGCAGCGAACGGTGGCATTATAGCGGGACCAGCCCTGTTCTGTTGAGATTCAGCTCTAGTGGATTATGAAACATTCCAAACAGTGCCTGTAAAAATGAGCCGTCGGTTTACCTTCTGCCGCCACCTGCAGCAGTGGTTGGCAGTGGCTGCAGGGTCACCCAAGGGCGTCCGCTCGGATCTGTTTGGTCCCCGGAGAGCGTTTACGGCAGCGCTGCCGGCGGTGGGGCCGCGCTGGCACACCTTCGGGGCTGTCTCCTGTGTTTGTCCCATCGACCAAACGAACAGCTAATCCTGGAGCCTGGAATAATAATCCAGCGACGCGCCAGCCAGGGTCCAGAGACGCCCGTGCGGCAGGGATTTTCTCTCTCAGGGACACGGATTAATATTGATTCCGGAGAGTTTCACAGTTCGTGATTATTATTTCCAGAGGACGGAAACGATTGATAAGTGCAAATAAGTTGTTTTGTTTAATCATTTTGTGCTGTCATATCTAACCGTAAAGGATTATAATCCCGAGCGGAGCTATTTGGTCTGCTGAGCTCGACAGAAAATACGACTATATCCTTTCTTTTCACCCTATCTCTTCAACAGGCGGTCGCCAGTAATGCCTCGCCAGCACCAACCGCTCCCCGATGACGTAAATCCGCTTGGCCTGATGCCATCACACGTGTTTCGGCACTCGACACTGTGTTCAGAAACCGAATAGCACATATCGTGCAGCTTTGTCGGTTCGCGGCAAAGGTCAGCAGTTGGATGTTGTTTGTGGGATGAATCGACGCCCTTCTCAGTTCTGGTGCTGAGATGTTGGGGATCTAGTGGACTTCACAGTCACAGGCTCGGCGACGCAGTTGGATCGCCAGGCATTCCTCCGCGTCCGAAATAGACGGTCTTGACATTGTCCGCGGCCGTCGGCCTCCGGGTTAGCCCTGGCATTGTCAGTGGATCGTGGTATTGGCCATTGGGAACAGTTTTTGCTTCGGCCGCGTACCACACACATAACTCCCGTTCAAATATGTTCGATGGGGTCTCGGGTCAGGCGCCCCCGTGCTACCTCAACCACCTCACAGCCACCCCCATCATCGGTCATTGAGCACCTACGTATCATTTAACTCCTTTCTCCCCTGACCTTGCATATGCTATCTTTGATGCGCCTTCATCATATGATTTGTTATACCTTTGTACGTACCCTGCTTCCACACTGTTCCTGCGTAAACCCGGCATGAACCCTGAAGCTGAATGCCCCATTCCTCCTTCCACAGTTGGAGCAGTGCGACAACTTCGACGAACGCAAGAAGATCCGCGCGCGGCTGATGGTTCTCATGCAGGAGGCCAAAGGTAGGGCGTGACTCTCTCCCGCGCCGGTCCGCTCGTCTCTGTCTGTCCCGCCAGGCCCGCATGCCGCTCTCCGCTCTCTCCTCTCTCCTCCTCGCTCTCTCTACTTCTGTCTCTTTCTCCGTCTCCTGGTGTTTGTGTATTTACCCGTTTCGTAGATCGGGCGTCCATGCAGAATGCAGATTAACTGATCGGTTTTGTTTGCCTGCGTTTGTTAATGGACCGTGGCCGGTTGCCTCTGGGCTGCTGACACGTCGTCTCAGTCCGGTCTCTCGGGCAACATTCAGTTCTGTACATAGTTTACCACTCGTAGTTCGCCGTGTGCCGGTGTGTGCGCGCGGGTATGTGCGGTGTGTGTGCGGCTCGGGTGCGGACTGGCCGGCCGGCCGGTGACCGACGGCCGTTGCTCTGTTGCAGCACGCCGGGAGCAGGTGCAGCGCCGCCGGCTGCAGCACCAGCAGCAGAGGGACGGAGGATCCGTCAGCGCACATGGTGAGTGCCACGAGCAGGAGGAGCCGGAGGCCGCGCTTCCGCCGCCGGCCGGCCTCCTGCCGCTCGTCTACAGTCAGCTGACCAACTCCCTGAGACGTGACGGCAGCGGCTCGTCGACCGGCGCCGGTGGTCTGACAGGGTTCGGCCCCGGCGCGGCCGCAGACTCTGGAACCGAGAGCGGGGAGGATGTCCCCGGCGGCGAGCTCAGTCACTTCATGGACGGCCTGCAGACTAGTCTGAGCAGCTCCGAGGTGGCCGCGCCGCCGCGGCTCGTCAGTGATGTGGTGGACGCGCTGGCCAAGCTGAAGGCGTCGCTGTCTGCCGGGCCGGCAGCGGCGGGATCCCAGGAGACGATCGACATTCAGCGGCTGGTGGGAGGCGCCACCCGGCCTGGGGAACTGATGACGCTCATTGACCGACTGCAGATGTCGCTGCAGCCGCTGACCGGTGGTAGACCCGCCGGACCGGCACCCGCCCCCGCAGCTCCCCCGGCCCCGACAGCTCCGACAGCTGCGACGGCTCCGACGGCTCCGACACTCCAGCAGCGGCTGCCGCCGGCCGGACGCGGAATCCTGCGCCGACAGCGGCGACCGCACACAGTCGGCATCACACGGGAGGAGTTCTCAGAGATCCGGCGCTCGCTGGATGCCGCCGAGGCTCTGAAGGCCCAGGAGGCGGCTAACACTGGGGAGTGGCCCCCGCCGCCGCCGCCGACCGACCCGACCCCGTGGCGCCGGCGACTGTCCGCCGGTTCCCCATCGGGAGCTTTGTACTCAGCCCGGTCTCGGCCGTTTACCAGAGAGATGTCTGATGAGTACCGACAACGCAGCGCCACCAGTTCAGAGGCCTTCCGACCGACGGTCCGGCCCGTGCCGCCGCCAACTCTCCAGAAACCCTGGCAGCCGAGTGCTACCAGCGCCTTCAAACCGCCAGCTGAGGCGTCATTCCAGCCAGTGCAAGCCGCCCCACCGCCACCGACGCAGCGATTTGAATTGATTCGTGCTCCTCCTGCCATGCAAGCCATTGGCGCGCCACCACCCATTCAAGCCATAGGTCCCCCACGTTTACTACAGGCGATATGTCCACCTCCCGCTCTTCAAGCGATTGCCCCTCCGCCCCCGATGCAAGCGATAGGTCCCCCTCCCTCTGTACCAGCGCCACCGCCGCCCCAGCAGCAGCAGCCGCCGGAGTCCCAGCCGACGCCGTTTGTGCCCAAGGCGCCGCCAGTGTCAGCTCGGTCAGTACTGGCCGGATGGAGGAGGCCGCTGCGGTACGTGCGTCGCGCCGACCGACCCCACACTATCGGGACGACAGAGGAGCACGCGGCAGCCGTGCGCGCCGCGCTGGCCTACTATCACGCCGAACAGGAGATTGATCAGCAGGATAGCTCGGAGGATCCCCCGGCGCAGACGGAGGTAGCAGCACCAGCTCCGCCACTGCCTACCTCGCAGAGACCCGGGCTGGGCGCCCTGCGCCGTCAGGCTTCAGTCGACGACGGCAGCTCGCCGGACTTTCCGCAGCCTCAGAGCGCCACCGTCCATGAGGCCAACCGTCAGTTCGCCTCCAGAGACGCGTCCCGGGTCTGCCGCGCCGACAGTGGCGACGCCCCGCGGCCGGCGCCGGAAGCTGCGACCTCTGAGGCTCCAGTGGGAGCGCCCTCTGCACCGCCGGCCGGGCCGCGTCCCGTCGGATCTCGCTCCTCGCTTGCTTCGTTCCTGACGAAGCAGATGACGAAGGAGTACTTGGAGGACTCTAGGATAGTCTCCAAGGAGCAGGTGATCGGTAGTAGGCTATTCAGCCACCAGCTGGCGGCCGCCCGGCAGGACAGCGAGCAGACCGCTCCGCCGGCCGTCTCCCCGGAGCCACCGGAGGTCACCGCTCCCTCCCCGGAGCCGAAGCTGGAGCCGGAGCCGGAACCGGAGCCGGCGGCCGGTCTGACTCGGAACCCGACTCTGCTGGACGCCGGCCAGCGGCGCGCGCGGTTCTTTTGCGGCAGCATGCCCTCCTCAGAGTGTCCTCCCCACCCGCCCGCCTGCGCCGACTGGTCGCCGTACGAGACGTCCGAGCGGCCCACCACGGTGACCCCTCCTCCCTCTCGACAGATGTCGCTCGAGGTCAGTCCGCCGTCGGGAGGAGCGCCGGTGGTCGGCGGCTGCGGCCGACTGCCCTGGGCTCGGACAGGCTCGTCGGCGGACCGGCCCGGCGCCGGGCGGCCGCCCTGGGCGCGCGGCCCGCGGCTGGAGAAGGCAGACAGTGTGAGCGGCGGCCCGGCGGCGGCTGACTCCGCCCAGCGCGAGCGGCCGCCCTGGCAAAGGAGGCAGGCGTCGCTGCCTCCAGACCCGGCCCGCGGGGCTGACGAGCGCCAGGGGACGGCCTGGTGGCAGCAGCGGCAGACATCCACGACACAGATACAGGCATCCACCACACAGCAGAGGACATTCACCACACAGCAGGGGGCATTCACCTCACAACAGACGGGGTATACTGAACAGCAGCGGAAGAACCGCTGGGTGCCGGCGCCACAGCAGGGTCCTCAACTACCGCCACAACAGGTACAACAAACACAACAATCACAGCACAATCAGCAACAAACACAGCAGTCACAACACACGCAACAGGTACAGCACACACAGCAGTCACAGCAGTATGTGTCTCAGCAGCAGTCCGTTCAGCAGACAGAGCAGCGCACGGCGCCGCCGCTGCCTCCTGCGTCCGCCGCCCCCGCCACCGAGTCCAGTCTGCGCCAGGCACTGTCCGCCGCCCTGCCGTCCGCCCAGATGGCTCTGTCGTCTGCGGAGACTCCGGTGGAGCGGCCGGCGTGGAGCAGTCCGGGGCCGGTACGGCGGGCGGCGACAGTCACTTCTGAGCCGTCAGAGCCGCCGCCGGCGCCGCGCCCCGCCCAACTGACCCGGTCATTACCCGGCGGTGCTCTTCAGAGACTGGTGCAGAGCGCCAACTCGGCCGTCCAGAAAACCCAGGCCAGTCGCGTCGCCTCCTCACCCACCACCTCTGCCGCGCCGGCTGACCCGAGGAGCTACCAGCCGCCACCGCTACCCAAGACGCGCTTCTCGGCCGCCGGAGAGCCCACACCGCGGCCGGTGGCCGACCGCCGCTCGTACCAGCCGCCGCCTCTGCCCAAGACCCGGTTCTCGGCGGACGGCGAGCCGACGCGGGTGGCGTCCCGCCTGCCGGCCGGCAGCCTGCCGTGCTCGCCGCAGCTGGCCAGGAGGCCGCAGCCGGCCGTCGGAGGTCACGGCATGTTCCGGAGCTGCAGCTCAGATATGGTGACCCAGCAGCGCACCGGTAAGGCGGCCAGTCCCTCGGACGGCATCGAGTGCCTCCAGCTGCCTGCGCCTGCCTGCGACCCGCGTGTGGTACCCTGCGACCGGTCAACTCGCCTGCATCGGCGTGTGCCGGCCTGTAGCTCAGCTTCCGTCAGCCTGCCCGCCTGCATGCTGCGCGCCGCAGTTTGCAGCCGTCATTCCAGAGTCGAGTCTTGTGACTAGAGTCACGAGTCAGCAGAGTCGGCAAACTAGCTATCGCGACTGAGCTGGTGGCCAAAGTTGACGCCATGCGTCCTCGTAGTTAGAGCATCTCTGAGTCGCATCTGTCAGACCTCAGTTAGTCAAGTTTGTCGAGCAGTTAGTCACCGTTTGAGATCCGTAGTCAGCAGTCAGTGTCATGGGGAGAAGTCAATCCAATCGAACGCCCATGAGCTCATCGGCTCTGCAGCCGAGCACACAAGACGGGCGACATTAGCGGCAATTCAACTCGATTGGAGACGAATTGGTTGCCCGTTTGTCTTCTGTCTTCTATCTTCAGAAGCTCCGGTCGACTGCCTCGACAGCATTGTCATCGAGGCTAAGGGCATTCTCAAATCTATATCGTTTCATTCGCAAATTGACTGCGTGCAACGTAATAAGCTAATCTTATGTCTCATTTTTGTTTTATTTAACTTGCATACATTAATTGCCGTATTTTTTGTGATTTGACTCTTTCTCTCCCGCTTTTGCTGTTTGACCTTTTACTCACTGCATATTTTTTTGGAGTGCGTTTTGTTGTGTAACAACTAATATGAATGGTTTGCCGTGATTTGTCTGTGTGTTTTAACTTACCTTTGCAACTTTGCAGTCCTTTGATTTTGGTGTGAACTAACGCATGTATTATCCTTTCATTTTTAGAAGCCAAGATGATCAACGACTGGCTGGCCGACAACTTCGACTCTGACGGTAAGACCCTGACGGTGGAGGTGACGGCTCGCAATTTTTCAGACGGGTGCCGCTCGCTGCTTCATTTTCCTCCTTTATTCCTCTGTAACTTTGCTTACTTATTCATTGTTTCTCGTTTCATAACACATGCTTTATCTCGGTGCTGGTCTAAGAGCTTAGAGATCTTTTTCTGCACAGCAGCACTTTATTACTGATTCGTTACATGTCGCTTCGGTTCCTTCCAGTTACCTTAATCCGCCTGTGCGATCCTTAATCCTTAATCTGCCACTGCTTCACGGTCTCCCTGATTTTCCATCTCACTCTATGCTGGTCTCTTTAACTGCGTCTGCTGTTCTTACTGCCTGTCTCTTTTCTACCGCTCTGCTGCTCTCAATTGCTCTGTCTGCCGCCCTCTGCCACTTTATCTACCGCTCTCTGTTGCTCTGCCTACCACTCTCTACCCGCTCTATCTGCCGCTCTCTAACCTCTGCTTGCTGCAGTGTCGGGCGTCTTGACTACCACGTCGCACTATGTGGCCGAACATTCTGAGGCCTATCTCAGTATGGTCACTCCGGGTGAGTGCGACTACGGCCGCCGCCCGACCGCGGGACCCGTGAGCCTCGCTCCCGTAATAGACGACTGGGCGCAACATCACAGTGTATTTACATGAAAATTATATTTTGTGAGCCACTAGGGGTTGCCTGGCTCACGGATCCAGCTAATCAGGCGGCAGCAATTTTAGTCAAAATGTACCGCTGATGGAAGAGTGGGTCTGAGCTAATTACCGTTGTTTGTAAGATAAGCCGTCGGAAGTTCAATATGATGAAGCTCTTGGTCAGTTTTTTTTTTGTTGATTAATATTGAAAAACAGCGTATCATCATTAAAGCTACGCCTTTATGTGCCTTTTTCGGTACTTCCAAACTTTTGAAAGTCCAAGCCCCAAGGGACATCTTCCGCAATATGTGGTCATGTGAATTGCAAACGTTACATCATGCGTATCCTAATGAACCTCACGTATTTCAGGAAACGACTCCTCAGCTGAAGCGAAAATGTCGTCCACATCTTCTTCAGGTACGGATCAACAATCATGCTGAGTAGATCCATGGAAGTTTTTGTAAGTGTTGTTCTTAAGCTCATAACTGGAGTATTTGATAAAATCGCTCACAGATAAGCTCGCAGATAAACTCGCTCGCTCGATCGTTAATGATCACCACATTCGCACCGCCATGTATACGTGCGACTGAATCTTATGAGAGTCGTCTGTGTGTCCGCAGTGGTGACGAAGACGAGCACAGCGCAGTCGGTGACGAGCTCCCGGAGCTCCCAGCTCTCCAAGGGTGAGTCATTCTCTCCGCTGAGTGAGGGTACCTCCAGGGAGGGCTGAGTGGCTCGAATGATAGAGCATTATTGAGTCGACTACATCACGATCAAACGGCGTTAGATTTGAACGAAGGGAGACGACATAATTGAGACGGTCCCTGGTTGTGACCGTCCGTTATTCTTCCTTGGTAGCGCATTCACTGGGTCAATTCAGCTTTACTACATAGATACGAGCAGCATTTTGAGTTAGCGAACTGATCTTTTTTAGGACGTTTGTGTGGATTCTAGCTACTTGCTTATCGCAGGCACTAATCGGTGTGCAAATTGCAGTCGGTTGTCCAGCTCTGACCAAGCCGTGCACCTGTCCACAGGCAAGGCGCCCGTCTCCGCGTTCGACAAGTTCAAGCAGCTCGACTCTGCCAATCCGAAGCCGATCCCAAAGACCGACTCCGCATCCAGGTAATTTTCGCCACCTCGTGGCAGGGCACGCTTAGAGCGAGGGCTGGGATGGGCTAAAATGCGAAGTGATTTGTGAAATGACTGTGAAGATAGGTGCGGACGACACAATGAGATTAAATGTTAAAATGGTTGTATCATTATATGACTAGGGTTTTTTAATCAGGTGCGTTTTAGTCACCGCCTGCGCGAAATAAATTTGTAAATTTGTTAGATTTGTTGATATTGCTAAGCGCTGGTTGTTTGTCATTCATTAAACGTTCGGTTTTTATTGACTAGCATTAGCTCCACATATGTAATAATTTAACGAGTCTCCTATAATACTTATAAATAAATACTCTACTCACGATGGGAATTGCTGAAACTAACTAGCGGAGGGGGATGTCTAATGTCATTGTCAATGCACGGTTCCGTGTCCCGTGACTTGTAACCATACGACCTTTGTAACTCATCTAGGGAACGCTATGCCCCAATCATGCAGGAGAGCGATTGTTGTACATTCTTGGGAGAGTTAGAATAGTAACTATAGTGCTACATAGGAGGGAGTGATGGAACTACACTGCTTTTGCCGCACACCTACACTCCCTGACCGTTTACAGCTTTCGCGTCCGTGTACTCTCGATGTCATTGCTGTACTTTTCGATCTTATGTCTTTCCTCCTGTCAGCTAAATTGTCAGCTTTATGGTCTAAATGTGCACATTTCATCTCATTTACTCTGATCTGTTGTCCGTAATCCGTATTCTTTCCTCTCGGCCTCCTTTCTCTATGCAAACTGTGGCGCCCTCCGCGCGGTGGTGCTTGCTTGAGCTATAGCTTGTCGAGCGGCCGATAGATGGCAGGCTGCGCGGTGACGGCGCGGCTTGTTGCAGTGACGGCGGCTTTAAGTTGGACGCTGGTCTGGCGGCCAAGGCGCAGGGTGCCAAGGAGATGACGCTTTACTGGGCGCAGTGTCGTACCCGCGACTACCAGGTAACTAACAGTGCGAGAGAGCTGCCTGCCGATCGAGCCCAGAGGAGGCTCTGAGGCCCCGTGTGTGTGCTGTGACCATGTCCCTCAAGGCGCAGTTCTGGGTCTCCCAATGTCTCCCCCTAATTCCTATCATCCTTCAGGCTCTGAAATGGTCTCGTCACACCGAAAGGGCCTAACCCAGCAAAACAAACAAAAAATTATGGGTGGTGTTTGAAAGTGTATCGAATTCAATGATAGGCTCCAGTTTCGGAAATCTTTAGTAGTTTGTTCTTTTCAAAATGAAATGGATAAAAATGTCCGAAATTTCAAATGCATTTCGGCTGGGTTGAGAGAACTCGATATCGACGTTGGTCGATGCGTTCCATTAAGTAATGTCGATCAGTTGCACAGATGAATGGTAGGTCAAAGCAGACACCTTAGTACATACATGCAATACATTTGTACATACAGTTACAACTGTGCATGAACTTCTCTGGCGTGTTGCTAACATTTCTTCTTTTGCTCCGTGTATAAATGGCAAGCTTTCAGCCTGCAGTTGTGTTTCTGCAATGTTGTCTATATTGGTAACCAGAACTTAGTCAGCTATGTTTCACTAACTCTCCGGTGTCTGGCTCTGTGGTGGTGTGAATTTTACAGCAAACACTATAATCTCCCATGTATAAATAGCCCACAAAAGAGACCGTAACTAACCAGAGCATAATGTGTGCGCCTCGTTGTGTGGTGTCTGACTCCTGCCTCCCGCAAAACAGCGTAAGGTACTGACGCATGTACCACTCCACCCACAGAATGTAAAGATCGACAACTTCTCGACCAGCTGGAACGACGGCATGGCCTTCTGCGCGCTCATTCACCACTTCTACCCTGACGCCTTCGACTTTGAAAAACTCAACCCAAAAAACCGACGATACAACTTCGACCTGGCCTTCAAAACTGCTGAGTAAGTGTAGCGGGCGTAGCACGGGCTGTCTTGGCACGGGGTTCATAGAACGGAATACGGATATTCAGAAATTAGAACCATTCTTTGGATAGTTACATGCCAGTACCGAATCATTGCAATGAATGGCCGTGCGGCGAGCTAACATTTTCGAGGCTATCACCGAGGCATTTCTCTTAAAGTTTAGTTTTTTTTTCTGTCCTAAGGAAGAGGCTAATCCCGACACCCCCTAACTGCCACTGACGCTGTGTCTCCGTTCACAGTGAGAGGGCCGGCATCTACCCACTACTCGACACTGACGACATGGTGGCCATGCGCAAACCGGACTGGAAGTGCGTCTTCACCTACGTGCAGGCCATCTACCGGCGTCTCAAGGACGGCCCGGTGACACCCAGCGCCTGAGCCCTGCCTGTGACAGACTGTGCCTTTCGCTCGCGACTCGCGTGTGTGTGAGATTGAGTGAGTGAGAGAGCCGCCCGCGCCGCGCCGTCACTGCTCGCTGTGATACGCCCGGAGGTGCGGCCCGCGGCGGCGCTACGGACACTGGCGGCCGTCTAGAGCTAGTCACTAACCCGGTCGGCGCGGCCAGCCCAGCGCCGTCCTATCCCAATCATCTGGTGGCGGTCAGACAGCGCTAACAGCGCCGCGCCAGCGCGCAGTGCCTAGTGGACGCCGCCGGTGCGTCCCGTTTTTAGATATATTCATGATATATGCTATGGCAGAAGTGGCGTGTGCTCTGTGGTATTCGCGCAGTGTGAAATAACCCGGCCTTGTGTAGTGTGTCGTTTTGCAGCCCAGCTATTTTAAGAGTAACTTATTGTAACAAAAGTATTTTGTTGCATCTGGCGAGTATTTCAGTGTATGTTGTGACTACTATGTTTTTTAACAGATCAATAAATGCACAGAAGGCTGTTCGGCGTCTCTACCTTCCCATACCATACCCAACGTCTCCTGTACAATGTTCGTTAGTCCAATGTTCTTCGGCCGCAGAAGCCTTTTGACCCAGCTTTTCTGACGTAGTTTCTAGCTAATTTGTAGACTGCGGTTTCTCTTCACCGGGCGGCAAAATGTAGCGGTTTTGCATCTGCATTTGTTGTACCGATAAAATCTTTGGGAAGCTATAAAACAGTGTGCGTTTGCGTTGCACGCTAAGGCCATTTAATTACCTATATTCCAAGTCAGTAGGTACCCAATCACTAAATGTAAATACCGAGCATAAATTCAAATGAGTCAAAACGTGTATTCCTGACTCAATAACGAGCACTCCCCGCACTAAGAGAGAGCTACCCACTGCCCAGTTCGCGTCTACGCGATCCCAACGGCAGCTACTAATTTGTCCATCACTCCCGCAAGTTTCACGTGTATTCAATCGCTTCTACCTGACACTGCACTGCACCGGACCCAAGCATGCTACGACCCACTGGTCATCACCGCGCGACGAACACGGCCCGGTCTCCGTAGGAGCGGTATGTATTCAGTATTCCTGATAATAGCGTGTCACCGGACGGCACGAGCCGCGGTATGCGGCCGTGGGTCCGCCGGCGCGCCGCGGTATCCACTGGGTGAGACAACTCACCAGCGCGACACCGCACGTATTGTCACCGGCCGTTAGCAGCACGCAACGCCTAGAAAAGTTATTACGCTGAAAACGCACACAGTACTTTGCGGCCGGCCGGAGAGCGGTGCGCCCGTCCGACCGGCCCGGGGCGGGGGCGGGGGCGGACGTCTCTGTATCACAACAGACAGGCGGTCAGGTACTCCACCTTATACTGTAGCACCTTGGCGAGCTCGCGCTGCGAGGAGCGGTAACTGTTCTCCAGCTGACGGCGCACGGCGTCGGCGGCGTCCCGCAGAGTGCCCTCCTGTGCCGTCGCGCCCAGGGAGAGGTGTCCCAGTTGCTGGGCGGCGCTCTGTTCCGTCAGAGAGGCTCCCGTCTCCTCGACCAGGCGGCTGGTGGACTGGGCCAGCGCCACCAGGGCGTTCACCACCCGGTTATGGAGGCACTCAGACTCGGTCTGAAACGCGGACAGGACGGTTAGGCTATCAGCAGGCCTAAGAGGGAAGAACAAGGGGCGAACAACGGCAATCTGATTACAAGGGCACATGTTGGGAGCTCAGATTGACGGTACGAACCAATAAAATGAAAAGTTACGAAAATCACTCATACCACGTCGAGCCAACATTCACATGAGAACCGAGTAGTCAACATTTGTGCTTACCCAATACCGTTTCAGGCCTCAAACACTGGAACAGTTCAGCAACACATTGCAACTGGCAAACCTGTTAGAGCTAAACATACTTCTCACAAAGTTGAGCGACCCGTCGCTAGTCTACCGGAAAAAATCTCGCCCCGCTCCCTACTCACCACGGCCGGCGCGGCTCCTTTCTTCTTTTTGCCTCGTTTTCCGGTGGGTCGGGTGGGCGCCGTCCACGAGTGGAGCGCGCCCCACACGGCCGCCGCCACGCCCACCGTCTCCGTCAGCAGCGCCGCCTCCTCGAACAGCTCAGCCGGTCCGGCGTCGGCCGGCGGCCGCTCTGCCAGCCGCTCACACAGCGTCAGCAGCTCGTTGACGGCCTGGGTGGGCGTCTGACCGGCCACCAGGTCGGCGGCCGTCTCCAGGAGTCTGCTGAGCAGCGGCAGGTGCGGCCGGCGCAGCAGCCGCGGCAGGCGGGACGGCAGCGGTCCGCTCAGCTGCAGCGTGCCGTCCTCGAGCAGCGCCGGGTCGGCCGGCCGCGCCGCCTCGGCCAGCTGGGCGGCCAGCTGGCGCACCTGTTCCATGTCACCGTTCTGCGGCGGCGCCAGGCGCAGCACGGTCACCAGCGCGCGCAGCGTGAGCTGGCGCGCCCGCAGCAGGTGCAGGTCCTGGCTCCAGCTGAGCGCGGTGGCCGCGTCCCGCTGCCGCCGCTCGGTGTCAGAGAAGGCCGGCAGCACGGCCACGTCTCGGTTGTCGCGCAGCTGGTCCCACTGGACGGGGCTGAGGGCGGCCGCGCACAGCGAGCTGTACCGCAGCAGCTGACCGGTGCAGAGAACACAGTCAGCAGCAGGCGACGACAAGTATAAACCATCCAAACAACGTCCAGTTTTCAATAGCGGCAACTTACCTGGTACTCTTACCTGGTACTCTTACCTGGTACTCTTATTCTCTTACCTGGTACTCTTATTCTCTTACCTGGTACTCTTATTACATCGAATAAATAAAGGATGCGTGAGAGAATATTCTATAAAAAAAAAATAATCTATCCAAGAAAAGGCGAGCAATTGCGACATCGGAAGCTCATACGTTAGCACTTTTGTAGCGCATGTAGAAACATGTAGAAACATCCAAACGTTTCGGCACACGAAAGACGGCTATTGACCAAACCACGATAAGCTCCGGTACTCAGCTGCGATGGCCAGTTCTGCCCTCCGTTACCTACCTCCAGCGTCTGCGCGTGCTGAGATGCCACGGAGGTCAGGTCGAGCAGAATACAGTCAGTGAGCGTCAGCAGGTAGTTGGCCGAGTGCGCCAGCCGCCGTTTGAGCTCGATAAACTCGGGGATCTGCTGGAACGAGCCCACCTTGTAGGCCGCTATCAGACAGTCGGTGGTCTGGAACGAGCGCGGAGGAAACGAGAGTCAGTCACACACACACGGGGTGTAAACGTCGGTCAGTCGGCACAAGCACTACGTTGTTATTGCCACACTTAAACACGTGTGACAGCATAGGATGGCTGAAGTAATCGGCTAGGTGGTAAGGTAAGTGCTTGCTTTACAACCAAACGAACTGAGGTTATGTCGAGCTTTCAGATTCGTAATGGTGACATTATCCGGAAGGAAAAGTGAAGTTTATGAAAACTCATAAGAATGTTGAGAGAATATATCTCAGAAACGCATCAAGTGTCCCGAGATTCCCAATCCCCCTTCCATCTCCCCAACAATGCCCCGGCCAGCACCGTCACACAAACTAACATCCTTGACGTTGTTGAAGAACTTGAGGACGGTGTTGAAGACGAGCTGGGCGGCGGCCAGCTGTCCCTGTGCGGCCACGTGTCGACTGCTGACGTAACTGAGTGTGTCCAGCTGGATCGACTTCAGGTCCAGCGTGTTGTACACCGTGTAGGCGGCTCCGGCGGCGCCTGGGAAACGACCGACGCGACAGATGTTAATCATCTCTCGACTCTGAGCAAGACATGGCAACCTGCATAGCATCTCCCGAGCAGCCACAACCGTTAAGGACAAGTCGAGGTAGGAGGCCAGCAATTAGCTATGAGGAAGTGCAGAAAATAAGAATGACAACGAAGGATAAGCTGCCCAAACGACTGATTTTGAGTGAAATCTGTTTTCATGCCAATGATTTCCAGTTAACTTAATGAAAATGATTATATTACTTTTGAGACGCAACGTGCATTAAACCCATGGAATTGGGCATTGGCATTCAACATTCAACAGTGATACGCTACTTCCTGTTTGTGCATTCTTTAGTGTGCATCGGCTGCGCCACTCCACCCATTGAACTGAAACAGTCACGGTCACACGCAGCTCACCGCGTTCCTTCAAATCCAGCTCCGCGCCACTCCGTCCATCACCGTACCACTGACGTACTCCTTCCATCACCGCGCCTCTGACGTACTCAGTCAACACCGCCACACCGCGTCAATGACGTCACTGACGTACCGAGCAGGTGGTAGATGTGGATGGCCGCCAGCTTGAAGTAGAAGTTGGACGGCGAGCTGTCCATGCCGCACTGCAGCAGCGCCAGCGCGTCCAGGAGGTGGTTCGTCTGCCGCGTGGCCCGCCACTCGTCGTACAGGCAGTACACGGCCAGCGTCAGGTAGTGGTCGTTCGGCCTGGAGACGGAAAACGGTATAATGTCAGGTAGTGGTCGTTTGGCCTGGGGATGCGCAATGATAGTGTCAGGGTAGTGGTCGTTTGACCTGGGGATACACAATAATGCAGTGTCAGGTAGTGGTCGTTAGGCCTACTGTTAACGCCAGACCTCTTGAGACCCTAATTTTTCGCGATTATTTTTAAATGCATGGAAGAATTTCAACCAAGCTCAGGACATAGCCGTTTCAAGACCTGCCGAAACTTTTACAATTTAGATATTTTGTCGCCATTTCAATATTTCAGGCACTTCTCATTGACTCGTAATGTTAAATTTCGAGCAAGATTTTCACCCGGCGTGTAGAGGCTATCACCAGTTAGTCTGTGATACGTTATGACGTCACAGCTAAGCCCCGCCTCTTTGGTCTTGGCCTGCGGCGGTTTCGGGCCGGCGCGAGGTCACTCGCGCTGTGGCGGGGAGCGGGGACGGTCGATCGGTGCCGAAAGCCGGCGGAGTTGTGCGTAACGTCTTGTCTGACAGTGCCCAAAGAGCGACATGATGACTGAGGAGCCATAAATGCTCAATGCGCATTGCTTGTACAATGCTGATATGTTCGCTGATATTTGTTTTATTTTTATAAGCTGCAAATGACGGGCAGATGGCATATAACTGACATAAGGTTAGGAAATATTCACCCGTATTTAAAGCCTATGGCGTTGCAGATAATGCGCTAATGGGATGTCGGATGTCATCAAGTAGCTCCTGATTTGCACATCGCTATGCACCCATCGACCAGCGCAATAATTAGCTAATTACCTTCGCTTCACATCATAAGGCTCGCTCGTATTTCACCAAACAGATATCCTACATCGAAAATCGTATTTGTTAGGAATCCTTAACGTTTGTTCGAAGCATGTGTGAGTAGAAGATTGAGGATTGATGGTCCTCTTGGTCCCATATACCTACAAGAGTCAACAAGAGCCTAACATTTACTTGACCGTCTGCTGCAATTGATTCATAGCACGTGGAACGTCAGCGAAATTCATAGTCCTTTACAGATGGCAGGGGTGTCGTTTGTACAGAGGTCGCTGATTGGCACGGGTCAATGCTGCAGTCGTGGGCGGAGCCTAATGTCATATGACGTATGAAAGCCTCTATCCAGGATGGAAAAACAGTTAACATTACGAGTCAATGACAAGTGCCACAAATATTTAAGTGACAACAAAATGTATTTGAAGAAAAAGTTTCGGCAGGTCTTGAAACCGCTATTTCCTAAATATGGTGGAAATTATTCCACGCATTTAAAAATAATCGCGAAAAATTAGGGTCTCAAGGCGTCTGGCGTTAACAGTAGGAACCAACAAGAAGCAGTCGGCTACACGCTATAATACACAGCCAGCGTCAGGTAGAGGTCATTCGGCCTGGGGATACACGGTGACAAGGTAAGATCGACCATAGCACGGCAGCGCAGGAGTGTATATTAACAGACCAGGTCATACTAGATCTAGCAGAGCAGACACGTAGTTACCAGAAAAAATTACTCTATGATACCCAAGCTACGGCTGTGAGTTGGCCTTAGCACTTATCGACAAATCCTGCTCAAACCTTTCGGATTCTAGTCATTAAAATCATCTTTTCACATTTTACTTACGCTTCGCAATACAAAGTGCAAACACAGTTTTATTTACCACACCAGAGCCGAGACGCAGCCTATCCAGAGACACTTCCTCTCAGTCCTCCTCCCCAGCCGCCGTCCCGTCTCCGCCCAGCCCACCCACCTTAGTTCAGTGTCGAGCAGCCCCTCGCTGAAGTGCGCCGTGGCCAGGTGGAAGCGCCGCAGCTCAGCGGCCCTCTCCAGCCGGGTCTGACCGAGCCGGCCGCTGTCACTGTAGTGCTGGCACAGCTGCAGCCACGTCAGGTGACGCTGCATGGCCGCCGGCTGCCGGAGAACACGTGGGAACGAATTGGTGATCCGGCATACGGTAGACATTGTAGGACACAAACGCAGGCGAATGCAGATGACGAGAGATGGCTCGGTACCAAAACTCAGTACCCCAAAGTTACTAAAATAGGCATACAAGCCGTAAAAAGTATGTACATGCAGTGCAAGTGAAAACCATGCAGCCACCTTATCATTCGATGCATTTGGATTATTTCGATTTTTCATCGATATTGTTTTTTTCGATAAGTGTTGTCGTCAGGACTTTACTCATCAATAAAAGATACGCATTGAAATGAGCATAAATCTACGGTCGATGGACTCCTAATCATTGTCCCCCCCCCCCCCCCCGATGAGCGCTATGCACCTCCGCTCCCCGAACAGCCGGCATCGCATCCACTCACCGAGAACGGCACGCCCCGGTCGTTGAGCTCCACGGTATCGTGACTGAGCTCGAGCAGGGTGGACACCTGGTCCCCGCTGACGAGGGCTAGCACCGGCTCCACGTCCGAGAAACAGCACGGCCGGTCACCGTAGCAGCGGATGAACCGAACCACCTCCTCCAGGTCGTCTGAAACAGAGCGACGATAAATGTTGAAAGTAACAGCCACAACAGCGAAATATGTTAATACGGTCATGACGGCTAGTATTTAGTATCGTCTCATAATGCAAACTACAAAAAGTGCCGGCCTATAAGGATACAATCAGAGATCAGAAATCAAAGTCAGTGATCCATGACCTAGAAGACTACATAAATTTCTGTGACTTGTGACAAAGAAATGAAGTCCGCCCTTGTCCTATGCAATGTGGCTACTGGCCACGTTGCTTGGCGGCTGCAACCCAATCAAATCACAATCACTACAGTTGGTCGATGTACCTACACAATTACTTCTCAGCAAGCACCCCTAGCCGACGTCACCTCATACAATCAGCTAACTCACCAATAGGCAGCGGCTGCGGCAGTCGTCTCTGCCGCAGCGCCAGGGCCAACCGCAGCTGCGCCAGAAGCGGCGCACGCTCGCGGCCATCCACAGCCACCCTCAGCTGGAGCAGGAACCGTGCCGTGGCCGCCGGTCCCACAGCATCCGCGCCGTCCGCACCACCCTCCGCGGGCGCCGTGAGACCCTCAGCAGCCTTCTGTTCAGAGTTCTCGACCTGACCGTCCGCCGGTGGTTCGTCTGGTTTGTCGGTGTGGTTGGAGTTGACCGGTTCGTTGTTGGTAGATGTGTGGTTCTCGTTGGACACAGGGATGGCACCGTCACCGTTGTCCACCGGGGCTGGACACCCGATCTCGGCGAACATGGCCTCCAGGTGTGTCTCGTAGTAGCTCCACTGTGACGGGCTGACGGAGACCGAGATGGCAACATATCAGCACAGCATCGAGCGACATAGAAACATTTGACTTCGGTGAATCATTCAAGCTTATTCAGGTATGTTACCATTTAATAGCTATGCTTTGAAATAATGAATCAATGCGATTAAGTTATTGACGTCAATACCACCATTCATCACACACCAAAATGAGGAACTGTCTTAATCGTGCGTCTTTCAAACATGCCCGACAGCTTAGCTTATTAGCTGACAATTTCTGACGGGTACTAAAGCCGCTATCGTAACCCATCCGTGAGCTGGAGGAACCTGTCGGCTGTCACTACCCCGCCATATTCGTCAGCGGTTTAGAAGCCAGCGTCGACAGCCTGATGTATGACCCACTCTTAACTCAGTACTCACTCTTGTCTGATGAGCTCCTGAGTGAAGAGTGTCAACTCCTTCCACCGACCGAGTTTCTGCAGGTACATCGCACGCTTCTCCTTGATGAGGTTGGGTGCGCGCAGCAGGTTGGCCAGCTTGCCGTTCAACAGATTCAGAGCTCCCTCGTAGTTTTCCTGAGGTCGGCACAACATGGTTAGCAAGAAATCACAGCGCTCCGCGCGGCTTCTGTTACAAGCAATCACACGAACGACCCACACGCCCATCAACATGACAAGCTGTTATTGTATTCGTGTTGCCTTGGCTAAAGGCAGGTAGAAAGGCAGCAAGAGAACCAAAAGGTAACGTTTCAATTCAACCCGTAGCAATGCCAACATCTCATCTCAACAGCACATCTCAGTAATTGTAGTGGCGGCCCCCACAAACCGGAAGATTGCAAACTCCCTCAACTGTATTTACGCACCTGTTTCTCGAGGACAATGAGGTAGAGCTGTACCTCGGCCTCGACCTCCAGTTTGTTCTGGGATACCATTTTGAGCAGCAGCCGCTCGGCCAGCTGAAGTGCCACAGAGCGTGACATTAGCGAAGTCTCGTCGGCATCCATCCCCTGTGGCAGACAAGACGTGCATTATATCAGGGTCAGTTTGGGCCAGTTGGTCCATCCCATGTCACGAACCAGTTCATGCTAAACGGTACCTATCTGGGTAAACCACATGCCGTACAGATGTAATATGCGCTCATTGCAAGGCGTTCGAACCTACACTTCTACACCCACTGTAAAATCTACCACGCACCAAGCACCAGCATAACAACTGACAAAGGTGGAACCAACATTACGCCACGATGTTTATAAAGTGCTAGGTAACTATTAACTAAGCATAGCACACATTAAAACTGCAAGTTTACTGAAGGCAGCTGAACGAGTCGCGAATCCGTCAATCCGTCAATCCCCAAACCCGACACTCGCCTGCATTAGGACAGACATGACTGCCCAGAAGTAATAGGGGTTCTTGGGGTAGGCCTTGTAGAGTGCCATGGCAGTCTGCTGCTGCTTCTTGTAGTTGAGCACCCGCACGTAGGCCATGAAGAGGTGTGAGAGGAATTCCTCGTTGGTCGGCTCCTTCTTAACGACGGCCTCGTACAGCTCACAGATCTTCTCAGCTACGGACGGGTAAAACGACAGTCAGGATATCAGACGATTACAAACGGTCGGGTACTGGACATAGTCTCGCCAGGGTAGTTGGCGATAGATGAATAAACTCAAAGTAGGTAACCAGTAATCAACAATCAACAAGGCAGTAACCAATCAATGGATTAGCTCAAATCTACCGACAAAAATAACATTTCGGAGCATATGTAGTCGATCGGGAACGCAACATCAACATTATAATTCCACCCCTATCCGAATTATAACATGGGAACAAAATATCCTATATGAATCCGAGTTCCAGACAGCGTCCACATCACACATTAACGCAAGCACCAGCCCTGTAGCTACTGACGTTCATGGAGCTCCTTGTAGCAGATGGTGAGCGCCTGAAGACTGTTCTCGTCCGTGGGCAGCTCGGCGACCACGGCCTCGACGATCTTACGGCTCTCATCGTGCCGCTCCAGACGCAGCAGCGCCAGCGCACGCAGCACCTGGTGAGGAGAGAAGCAGCGGCGCATTTATGAGAGGGCTGAGTTATACAAAGGCACACAATATACTCGACACTAGTGTGACCATGGCACGCAACCTCGAATTTCACGACATAGCCGAAAAGGGAAGGCGACAAGATGGTCCTGCCAGACACACTAAATGCTGCAGAACAATAACGTATTTACTGATTACTGCTGCGAATCATTTTCCTTTGATGTCAGTAGAAATGTAAATCACATCATGATGTCCCTAGCAGCGTGCAATTAATAGCAGCATGGTTGGCGCTTGGCATGCAGAAAAAGGACTGGTAGATTAGACGGCAGAGCAGCTTTACCTTGGCGCAGGCGAAGTTCGGTTGCTTCTTTAGGAGCCTGTCCGCTTCCTGGAGCGCCTTTTTGCTGTTCCCGCAGTCCAACGAGTCTGGAAAGGCAGAAAACTTGGTGAGCATCGACTGTCAACACGGGTTGGGATAGGTTTCGTTGATCATCGCTTGCCGCAAGGAAAAAAATAGTCAACGTTCGTCGGATCAAGAGGAAAATATGGTCTGAAATGTCTAGATTTGATGCTTAAAGGGAGCCATACATGGCCTACCTTGGCCCGAAGATTGGTAGCAAACCAGTTCGTCTGGCATGGGCTTCCATGAACGAAACCCCTAAATGTCTACTTTGCATGCCACCACATGTGATACAGAATCCAATGTGCAGTAACTGGCCCAGACAAAGATACAACCAAACAGCCAGCAGCAATACAACACATAAAATGATACCACTTATTTTCAGCCACTCTCGTATGTCATCATTGTCATCATTCATTGGCTAGCTGAAAGCATTTGAATGTAGGGTGCACAAAGCATCGTTGAAATGAGTTTCACTGAATCAATACATAGCGCAGCATTCAGTTTGGTGATTATTGATGATTTACCGCTTCATGGGGAGTGGAAAGCCAGCACACACAAACCCCATTTCATTCGTGACCCTAAAACTAAAGGACTAGAGACTGTTGGTGGCAACAACATACCTCAAAAGTCAACACATTTGGAGCGCCACAGTTCGATCATCATACGACCAGCAGGTCGCTCACGGACCGTCAATATGCGGTCAGGGTGGGGCCAGGCCAGGGTCGAACCAGGCTGGGACAGATGGAGGCAGCCCAGGCCGGTCAGAGGTTCAAGTCGGGTCAGCTCGGGTGACACCAGGTCAGCACAGGTCGGGTTGGGTCGGACACTCACCATAGATGGGCCGCAGCCGTCGCTCACTGACGGAGCTCATTGTGAGGCCGGCGGCTGCGGCACGTCGTCCGGCCGCGGCCGCCAGGGACGCGCACCCACAGACGCTAGCCTAGCGGCTGGTCACACCAGCAGAGCGGAACAGCTGCAGACAGACGGGCCACGCGTGTGGGGGCTCACAGACGCGCACACAAACGCACGTGGGGTGTCTCAACTCTCAAGTGGCTTGAGCGGACTGGAAGGAAAACAAAAGGTGAAACTCTGCTTTGAATATTTGTCGGAGGATAGTTAGCAAACAGTGTGGGTATGAAAAAGCTTTAGAGTAAAAAGAGAAGAGGACATCATTATCCCTAGATATCATAGATGATCCATGAATATAGTTGCCAGGTATTTGTACTATCAGCACCAATTTTCCATAGCACACTGGGAGGCGAATTTCCAGGAATCAATCCTGAAACGGGTGTCATGACAATGTGTTGCAGTAGTATTTGCCATTCAGCTCATTTCTACTGCACTATCTGTTGACATCTATGGCAGATCAATGCATGCCACTCTGCACCTTTTGATCAGAACATATATACAAAAAAGGTGAACATCATACCATTGTGTGATGTATATAAGGTAAATGTTTCAAGCCTGCAACCTTAAAAAGTATATTTATAAAAACATTTTTCTTCAAGAAATTATTTTTCATGCCAAGCCTATTTGAATTCATGCCAAATGCTGGTAATTAAAAATTGCTATTCACTCTGGCAGATGTGCCAGAGCTTGTCTATGATGTTTCAGACCATTTCTATTGCAAATCCTGGCTGGTTACTATGATATGGCTACTCTTATTCTGCAAGGGTAGGACTGAAAAAGAAAAATTCAACACTACTGTCACCTAATAACATGTTAATTCTTAGACCTGGTGACTTAATAAAAACATAAAATATATGAAGAGCTGTACCATGACCACACTTATGAACTGTGGGATCACATCAAATAAAACTTCAAAGTGTCATTTTTACCTGATGAATCAAGAGACACTTCTAGTAACTAAATACTGAAGACATCATTGAGGGTAGGTGACAATTTATTTCAGCCAGAGCCTGATTGATCAATATTTGAAGTGAACACAAAGTGACTGAAGATGATCAGGCAGTGTTTCATTTTTCAGCCTTTTTGGTGTCAAATCACACCTAATGGGGAAAATATTTTCATCCCTAAAATATGAATGACCGACTTTACTTCATCTCTGAAAAGAGTTTCATGTATTCCCAAAAGCCAGTTCACTTGTCACTCGACAGTTGATGCACCCACATCCTTTTGTTCCACACCTTGTCAAGATCATGACATGAAATCCTGGTTTATCAGTTAGCATAAAAATTGGCATTACACCATTTTACAAAAATACTGCAGTTATTTACTTTCTTTTTTCTCATCCTAGGATTTTTTCTTCTTCATCGGCACACCCAACCAATATCCAATTTTAGAACACTGTCAGATCAGGCTACCTTGGCTGGACATGCAACATTTTCCTGCCAAGCCAAAGCCTTTCAAACTGGTGTGTACCTACTTCAACCTGTGTACCTACTTCAACCTGTGTACCTACTACTACCTACTTCACTTCTAGCAACGTAATATCACACTTCCCATATAACAATCTTTTGCTTAAGAAAGAGTGAGGATGCCATAGGAGAGTTGAGACTCAGATGTAGTGAGGAATTCAATGATACTGAGGGGTGTTCACGGGCACCGCACACTGCTGCGTGCGGTGTGTGCGGTGCGTCCAGCAGGCGTGGGGGTAGGGGATGGGTAGGCGGCTCTGACGTCACGGCTGCGTGCGGTGGACGATCCGCTGTGGCCAGTCCCGACCGGCCACAGCGGTCGCTGTGTGCGGTGACGGAAGGCTGACGTAAGGACGCAGTGGGCGGAGCTTGGAGGCTGTGTGCGGTCCGACCGCACACAGGGCCCGTGAACAGCCCTCAGCTAATATCAATAATCAATTTGGATACAACTCAGCAGTGTCCCAAAATTGTGTTTTGGCTTGGGTGTCAGAGGGAAAATTCCTCTCCCAAAAGGGGGATAAGAGTGGAAAATTCCCCAATCAGGTAAGGCCCAAAAAGAGTGGAAAAGAGATCAATGGCACACATTTCTATATAATGAGGTAAAATGTAATATGTATTAAAATGACCAATGCAAATGCTTATTATGAGTAAGGCTGGGAGTGGAAAATTGCTCTTAGATATTAGAGATGAGAGTGTAAAATGATTTTTATTTGGATGTCGTTTCCCACCCAAATCGAAATATTTTGGGACAAGAGAGCAATAAAGGCAGAGTTGATTGATAAACTGAGCTTGAGCAAATATCCACCATCCAGCATTAACTGTAGATAGCACCTTAACTGTAACAAATCAAGTTCCAATGCATAAAAATATTAAATAATGGTTAAACAACATTTATTCAACATACCACAACTGAAAAAGTTTGCTTCTATAGAATAACATTTTTTTACAATTGAAGCTGAGAATATTCACTTTGAATGTTATCACAAAAAAGGAAAGCAGATACAGAACAAGCCATTCATAACTTATATATACAGGCTTAGTCTAGATGCAAATTTTGATTTCATGGCATCACACCTGGCAAAAATACTAAATCTATAATTTGCAAATCATTACGAGCGAGCGAGCGAGCGAGTTCATACTGTTAAGGGAAAATCCTGAGTATGAGCGGCTGGCCGGCCGGCCGTGGGGACGCTCTTCAAAAGCTAATATCTTAGGAAAGGGACATCCGATTGACAAGCGGTCTTCTTTACTGAATGTCACTTGGACGTAAAAGTTCTGTGGTGTGATGGCCACCATGCGTTCTTGCCAACCACCGCACGTGGCGCGTGGTAAAGTTGGACATTTTTTAAGAACCCCAAAATTGCAACCTCAATAACGGCACAACGGTTGGGCCGATTGAATTGAAACTCGGTACACAGTTAGGTCTCCATCAGATAATTCATCTGCATGTGTTAAGGTTGGGGTGCTACAGCACGTGCGCACGTGCAGGGGGCGCTCCCAGATCTCGAGAACCGCTGGGCCGATTGCACTCAAATTTGGTACACGGTTGGGGACCAGTTAGTAGGGTGCAGTGCAAAAGTCAGTTTGGACCCTGCTTGCACGTGCGCACGTGCAGAATGCCGCTTCCAGATCTTAGGAACGGCTGGGCCGATTGCGTTCAAATTTGGCACATCGCTATACTCTGTTCCGTTTCAAGCTTGCAGCCGAAGTGCCCTGCTGAATGCAGTGCGTGATTTCTGTATATACAGCTCTTACATTTTAAGACGCAAATTGTTGAGCGGAGGAGCGATCTGCCGAAGAAACTCCGACTGCAAGGTTGATATGGAACAGATTATAGCGACCGGTTAGAAGGGTGCTTTGCATAAGCCCGTTGGAAGTACCCTCTCGCCCTTGCGCACGTGCAGGGCTATCTCGCTCGCTCATTCTTCACCCAACAGGCGTTTTACTGGTTTTAAGCTAATCAATTAATCAAAGGAAATCTTTAAAAATCCTTTAAACTTCTGTTAAAATTTTGTTTTTAATCATGATTCAGATTCTTTCCTAATCCATTATGCATACCTTGACCGCCTTGACCCTCCTTGTCTATCTATGTCTTAATCTTAGAATTTTTATAAACAATGATTGCTTTGCCAATTTTAACAACTCAAAATACACAGACGCTGGCTGGATTGAACTTGAAGTCCAAAAATAAATTGTGAATTTGCTAACTTAGTACACGCGCGATCACGTTGTAGGTCCGCAACCAAGGCCTTCTTTTTTGCATCAGTTTTGTTTCATATGGCAGCTAGAATTGTATTGCACTGATTACGTCAAATAATCACCAAGTTTGAATTTAGGTTGAATATAATTGTTTAAACAATAATCATTCACTGTGGAAATATCACTGAACTTGTTTCTTTTATTTTGAAAAAAAGCATAAAAAAGGTTTGGTTGATATTTGATGAAAAAGCTCCGTAACAATTCAGCTTTAATTACGTCATAGCTACCATATTTAAAAAGAAATGACTAGCCAAGAGTATCAAAAAAGTGACGCATTTGTGCGCCGATTATGTATGAATTTTTTTCGATACATGTGACTTGCCAAGTGACTTGCATGTGACAGTAAGTGGCAAATGAAGATAATAGGTGAATTAGTATTAGTAAATTAATCCTGTGCAGCTCAGAATCGGTCGATCCAGGGATTGAGACAAAAAATACTCGCTTTTTCCTTCGCCGTATGCGATTTTTTCAGCCGATTTGCTAGGGACCCAACGTGACCCCGGTCCTCGATGACCTTGACCTTTCAAAAAGGTGACGGAAGAGTAACCCCGCGTACGATGTCTTTCGGACGGCGAAGATTCTACGCCGTCCGGCCAATCATGTTTCATAACCGCAGCCGAGCCCCCGCTGACCTTGCACGGGATTGGCCGGACGGCAAAGAATCTTTGCCGTCCGGGAGACATCGAACGCCGCCTAAGAGTCTGAACTCTGAAAGGTCATAGTATGACCTGAACATCTAGTGGATTCATTGCGATAAAAATTACGAAAGTGCTTCGGTTATTTAAAGGTCAGGTCAAAGGTCAGGTCACCAGAGCCCAGAGGTCATCGAAGGTCAAATTTGGACTGTGGCAGCATTTTTTATAAGTCGGCGCATAACTCGGGAACAACTGGACATATAGCGCCGCGGAAGAGCGCATGCATTCGATAGCTCTTTAGGCTCAAGTTTGACATAAATATGACCAACGGTTTTGCGGCAAAAACTTGTAAGCTGGCGTTTTTAGGTACGGAAAATTGTTTTCTTGAATCACTTTTGACCCAAAAGTCATAACTGGCCCGACGTTCATTATGCTTACATCGTGTTCCTTTCGTTGAGACGCGTCAAATGAACTATAAGTTGACCTTAAAAGGTCATTTGAAAATGTGACCGAAGGTCAAAATCATAACCTGACCGGAAAAGGCCATGCTGCCTATCAGAGCCGCAGGGGGGCGAGATGTTAAAAAAAAAAAACGGGCCCGGCACGGGCTAACTGACCCAGAGGTTCGCGAGAAAAAGGGCGCGTGCGCCGTTGCGAGAAGCAGCGTACGAACAGTTCTCTATATACCGTGGTACGAACTTGGTACGAACTACGACCCCCCCCCCCCTCGCCGTTTCGCTCCTAATTGAGCTACAGCCTCGCGGAAAGAAACGAGCGTGGGGCTGTTACAAGTCGCAGTGGTTGGTACGGGGACCCGCAGTTGCTACTGTACAGCGACCCTGAGTAAATTGTCCCAGCACCCTCACAGGGAACAACGATAAGCTGTCAAAGGGCACGCACAGAAAACCTCAGCTGCTCTTGTACAGGGACCGGCAATCGATATCAATGCTATCGGTTGTTACTGGACAGGATAGACGGCTAGAGTTGGGGTTCGTGTACAGAAGCAACTGCGGGTCCCCGTACCCGATTTTAATGTTTCAGGCCAACCGATGACCTCTGAGGTCAGGTCAAGTGCCCCAAGGCACGCGTTCGGTTTTTGGTAAATAACTTCGCCAAAAGTGGCTGCAGACAGCAGAGCCGCGAATTGGGCACCATCGTGTTTGTCTTGCTCAGGCGCGTAGAGTGCCGAGTGGTATACTTTTTGCTCGGGTGAGGTCAAATTTAGGTGTTGAGCTCGGGTCACGGTCAGGTCAGAGCCCCCTAGATCACCAATTTGGTCGAAGGAGGTCATGTCGCATATCATTCGATTCGGCAGGTCTCCCCGAGCTCATTGGCGGCTTTCCCGACTCGCTGGCTCAATTTGATCGGGAGTATTAACGAAAAACTTATAACTCCAGTGACGTCATAAATGACGTCACACATGGGTGGAGAATGCTTGAAAAAGTTACCCCGGCCGGCGACTGTTGGTCATGGGAAAGACGACATGCTCAAATAGTATTTGTAAACGGTTATCAACAAACCCATTCTCCGTTGAATGAAATAATTGGATGTTGTGTTTGCTCAAGAACACTTAATCCTAACTCAGCTCATTCAAGTCAGGCCAACAGGTCACATCAAGTGAACTCGTCTCAAGTTTCACGATAGTGTTGGGGGCCGTAGGCCTTAGTCCCCAGTTGCTTTTACGTGTGTAGGTGAAACCGCGGCAAGCATTTGTGTGAAATTCAGTTAAGGTTATAATAAATCAGTTTCGCATCGTGGTTCTGAATTTCGCTCCCAGGTCACCTAGGGTCAGGACATCAGGTCCAATTTGCTAGATAACCATGCTTCAAACCTCGCCGGACCTATTGGTTTTCAGGTTTTCTACATACGCGCTGGCCGAGGGGGGGGGGCGGGTACGACCCCCCTCGCCGTTTCGCCCCTAGTGGAGCTAGCGCATCGCGGAAAAAACGAGCGTGTGCTCCGTTACGAGACGCAGAGATTGGTACCCGATTTTAAAGTCCTGGGTCAACCGGTGACCTCTGAGGTCAGGTCAAGTGCCCCAAGGTACGGTTCGGTTGTTGGTGAATAACTTCGCAAAAAACGGTCGCAGAGCCGCGATTTTGGCAGCATCGTGTTCGCCTCGCTCAGGCGCGTCGAATGATATACTTTTTGTACGGGTCAGGTCAACTTAAGGTGTTGACCTCAGGTCAAGGTCAGGTCAGCACCCCCAGGTCACGAAGTTGTTCAGAGAGGTCATGTCGCATATCATTCGATTCGGCAGGTCTTCCTGAGTCCATTGGTGGCTTTCCCGACTCGCTAGCTCAATTTGATCGGGAGTTATTGACGAAAAACACCTTGATGACGTCATAAATGACGTCACGCAAGTCAACATTGCAAAAGTGACGCATCTAACCTTGCAAGGAGTGCATCAAATCACGATTCTGTGTGCTTGAGATAGTTGGAGATCGTTCCCGGCGCCAGAATAGCAGTTTTCATTTTTCCCCATTGACTTATAATGGTGAGGTCACAAAAATGACCTGACCTCATATGACCTTTAGGAAAAATCCGAGATATACAAGTTGTGAGACTCATAATGTATACTAGATCCTGCAAGTTTCATTTCCCTGTGACATCTCCTCTGGCAGTGAGGGCGTTGCGAAGTTGCGACATCTGAAGACCGTGCAGAGGTTCACTTATGACGTCATAGGTCAGTGACCTGACCTTACCCAAAAATGCGGTTGGTGTCAAAAGATCCGGCTTGAATCGAAGGTCAGGTATGCCAAGTTTCAGCTCTCTATCGCCAGCGTGTTCGGAGCTATCGCGAAAAAAAAACCCTATGGGAGGGCGGCACCCGCCCCCCCCCCCTCCCCAGTCCCCCCTCGGCCGGCGAGGGTTAAAAGTCTGCGTTCATGTCATTTGCAGTGCTTGGGTATTTCCTAGAAAGACGAAACTTTCTTTTTTTTCCACACAAAAATGTTAAATTTGAGTTGTGGCCCTCTTGAAGACAAGTGCTTGGTTTTCATGTTCACCTGAAATGTTACTCGCGAGCGAGTCCTAAAAAAGCTACCAAATATTTTGTTTACAGTGTTCTAGGTCCTCTAAACCACAAGCTGGAAGAAAAGTTGTCAAAGCGCGCTATAAAAGGGGAAATTTGACTTGTAATGTCCTGTGGTGATTTTATTCTTGTGCTGGCCTAAAATATGACGAAATTTCTCTTATTATGTTTAGCGTTCTTTCAAACGGCGTTGCCACTCCCCGCCACGCAGCCCAGCAGCCGAGTTTATATAAAAGGGCGTATAACGCCTACTCTACCTCCCGCCTCAACGTTTTCGATAGCGCCGCCATCCTGGCGCCGGTTAAGTTGGGGGAGCCTTAAGCCCCGCAGATCTTCTTCGATGCTACCCATTTTGTCTCACTGATATTACCCTAGACCTGTTTTCTTTTGTGATATTATTGTAAGGTGATCTTATGATAACGACCCTTGAATATCGTTTTATTTTGCAAGTTGATCAAACTTATCGGGCTCAGCGATGAAAATATTTGCCCAGAAATCCCAAAATCAAATTAGATAGATCTTCAAAAACTTTAAGAGGTAAATAAGTGTAAAGACTTTTGTAGGTAGCACTAAGCTTTTTCTCGGTTGGAGACAAGTTTTAGGATTTATAAGAGTGAAAAAGTTATACCCCGGCCGCGCCGGAGTTGGCTGAAAGTTACACCGGCCACGGCCGGGGTGGCCGGGGTAGGTTCTCCACCCATGACGTCACACAAGGTCAACAATACAAAATGAAGCATCGAAACTTGTAAGGATTGCATAAAATCACGATTCCGTGTGGTTGAGATAGTTTGAGATCGTTCCCGGCGCCAAAGTAGCAGTTATCATTTTCCCCCATTGACTTATACAATGGGTACCACCTAATAAGGTGAGGTCACCAAAATGACCTGACCTCATATGACCTTAAGAAAAATCCGAGATGTACAAGTTGTGAGACTCCTAATGGATACTAGCTTCGGAAAGTTTCATCTCCCTGTGAAAGCTCCTTTGGCAGTGAGGGCGTTGCGAAGTTGCGACATCTGAAGACCGTGCAGAGGTTTACTTGTGACGTCATAAGTCAGTGACCTGACCTGACCCAAAAATGCGGTTGGTGTCAGAAGACACGGCTCCGGCCGGCGAAGGTAAAGGTTTCAGCTCAACCGATGATCTTTCGAGAATCGAGTGCATCTGATTTTAACCCGCGCCCCACGGGGGGGGGGGTATTCATAGCCCCCCTCTCGTTTTTCTGCAAAAACTTCTAAACCGCTGGACGTATCGACGCAAAACTTTCAGTACCTTCGGCTGCATCAATTTGACACCTTGTGTCAAAATATGAACTTCGTAGCTACCATAGGTCGGCCGGAAATGACGTCAGATATACGTCATGTTCGGAGGATTTCGACGC